GGTCTGTCACACCTCTCATAAACAGGCATATTATTTTTTGAGATACGTCTAATCTTCCCATCATATGAATAAGAATACGTTCGATCGTTCATTATTTACCTCTAAAGAGTAAAAAACTCAAGATTAATATTACTACGAAAAAACTTTTAAAATGTTACTTACCATTAATGTCCTTATACAATTTTATCATCCATAATTTAACCAAGTTTATATTATCCATGTCAAACATATGTAGTAACACTAACTTTTACATTTTTGATAATTTCCTTTAAATCCACAAAATTATTTAATTTTTCTTCACAAAAATCATAAAAATTCATAAGTAATTTCTAAAATTCTATTTTTTTACATGTAATCCCATGAAATAGTGGAATATACAAGAAATTAGAGTAGAATTTTTTTTAAAAAGATTTTACTTCAATTTTGTCGTGCCCTAATTTTTGTGTGAACTTCGGCGACTATGACGGCGAGAGCCGATCAACTCCGCGGTTATGGGGACTGGGGCCGACGACGGCCGTGGGGACGAGGGAGAGGGTTCATAGGGTTTAGGGTGGAAGGGTAAGCGAGTTTTGGGATATGAGTTCACTGGTTCTGCGCCTTATATAGGCATGCCGCCAAACCTCCACGGAGGTCAACTCCCATGGAGTTACATGTCTTAATTTTTCCAGAGAGCGGTTGCTCTGAAAAATTTGAGCACTGAAACTTCATGGGAGTTGAACTCCCGTGGAGTTTTGGCTCTGCCTAACAACTTTCACGGGAGTTAAACTCCGTGAAGTTTGTTTTAAGCAATAAACTTTACGAGAGTTGAACTCCCTTGTCATGTTTAGTTAAAAATCTGTAAACTTCACGGAGTTCAACTTCCCGTGATGTTTTCAAAAAAATATTTTTAAAACACCAACCTGCTTTTTAGCGCCTGCGGCTGAAACCATGGTCGGTGTTTTGAAAATAATGTTCGAAATCTGATCTTTTTGAGAATTAAAAGTCAAAGAGCTACTGTTTTGAAAAATTTGTCCAAAAGATAATCATAGAGTGTCTCTGTAGAAAATGACAGGCCGTGTAACGAAACGTCAGCTGTATTTCATCATCGAGTCTAGAGTGCTGTATATTTCCTAATGTTTGCAGTAATTTGTTGTATGTTTATTTTTTAACTGTTTTGAGTGTTGTTTTATATTGTTTAAATTGCATACAGTGTTTGTACTGATTGAAATTAATAAAGTCAATTTTGAATTGACCAGTAACAGGTTACAACTTACAACACATTGCTTCTGTGGTTTAATTATTTGCAGTCGTGAATACTTTTTAATAATATAAATAATGGATGTTTAGATTTTCCCACATTAATGGTGACATAAACAAATTTTGTCCTCTTCATTGCAGCCTAGACTTTGACTATTTATGGATACTGGTGTCGGTTACATGACTTTTCTAAACTCAAGAATTCGAGAAATGATAGAGGCCACTCTTCACCACATCTCCAAACCACACCCCCCTTCCTGCCTTACCTCGGCCAATCTTGAGATTTAAAATTTAATATCTTCAAGTGGGGCCCGGTCGGTAGCAGGAGGGGGGGTGTGGTTGGAGGTGTGGTGAAGAGTGTGCCTCTCCAAGAATTTAGCTTTCTACAAGATTAAATATAACTTAAAATGTTAATAAATCTTTCGCTTATGTATTCCTCATCTCACTTAATCTTTTGATGGCACGACTTTGTTTATTAATATATTGTATATCGATTATAATTATTTAAGAATTAATAGTGAGACGGTCAATCTTGTCATCCTTTGTCTCTATTTTGGGTAAGTTACACTGAAAGCCCCCATGAACTTTCAATGTTTTGCAGTAAATCCTTATGAGCTTTTAAATTACACTGAATCCCCAATAACATCTTCTGTTTTCCATAAAACCTCTAATAAATTGTTACAGATAACCCCCATAAACTAGAACCAAAAAATAATATAAAAATACATTTTGAAAGTTATTAGGGGTTTAGTGTAATTTGCCCTAAGTTATTGGAGGTTTAGTGTGATTTTGAAAGTTTATATGAGTTTACTACAAAATGCTGAAAGTTAATAGGGGTTCATCAATGTAATTTACCCATTTGATATCCTGATCATTGTAAAATTCCGTCTTCTACACACATCAATTTACTGTTGCGCATCGTGCGGAAGCGTGCTCACAAACCAACCGAGTCGGTGAGCGATGAGAGAAGAACCAAACACGAGTGCAATTCACAAAATTAACAGCCAAATTCACACAAACACTATGATTTACGTGGTTCGGCAAATTGCCTACGTCCACGGGGAGAGGATGGAGATATTTCACTATATGGAGGAGAAATAAAGGGTTACAATCTCTCAAACAACTCTCAAAATAACCAAATCAATGATCTCACACTCCCTCACAATAATCTCCCTCACAAAACTACTCAAAACAATGCTAATTCTCTGGTTAAGAAACCCTAGAAACGTGTGTTTCTATTTATATCAAAACCTAATCCACAACAGACCAGGAAATAAATTCGGCCCATACCCGCTTTCCAGTCGACTGGCCAGAGACAGATTCCAAGTTCCTGTAATGTGTACATTTTTGGTCGACCGGTCAAACTTGTTCGGTCGACCGACCAAAGACAAAGTTTCAGAACTTGTAATCCAACAGGCTATCGGTCGACCAGGCCTATGCCGTCAGCGAGGAAAGAGGTGAACTACATGACCAGGTGAACTAACTTGCCTTGTCATTAGCCCCCCTGGCTATCGGCCCCCCCCCCCCGCCACATCAGCGAGGAAAGAGGTGAACTACATGACCAGGTGATGTGAAGTGCAAGAATTCCCACTCAAATCTAAAGTCTGCTGTGGGAGTATGGCTTTATAGATTTTATTATCATCAGAATCATGTTTTAGTGCTTCTTAGTAAGTAGTGTCATTTTATAGGTTAAATTGATATTTTAGAGGGGGGTGGGGGGGGGACCAAAAATAGTAGATAACGGTTCTAAATGATAATTTGGGGGACAAATTTTCAAAACAGTCCCATTTACAAAAATATTCCCAAAAAACGACCCGTTTTAACATTATTTGTCAAAACCGACCTAGTTTCAGCCGTCGGGCTGAAACTAGGTCGGTTTTGACTAAAGAAGTTCTCAAACTTCACAGGACTTTCCCAAACTTCACGGGACTTGAAGTCCCGGGACAGTCCCGTGAAGTTTAGCAGCCATTTAACTAAGCTGCTAAACTTCACGGGACTTCAAGTCCCATGAAGTTCGTTTCAGCTCTGAAACTTCACGGGACTTGAAGTCCAATGATGTTTCAAGCACATTTTCCAGAGAAACTACTCTTTGGAAAAAGCGGCCTACAACTCCACGGGACTTCAAGTCCCGTAGAGTTTCGCTTTACCTATATAAGGCAGACGTGATCACTCCCGTGACCACGTCCTCATATCCTACGCGACTCCTCTCCTGAACCCGACGCCCCTCACCCAAACCACAGATGCTCTCCTGAACCTACCCCTTACCCCCGCCCCTCATCGGAGCAACCGTACATCACCCCCGTCGTCACTACCGGAGTTCACGGGAAATTAGGGCATCGTCAATATTAAGATAAAATCTTTTAATTTTAATCCTAATTTTTTGTATATTCTCACAATTTCTTGGTGATTACTTGTAAAAAATTAGATTTTGAAATAAATTTGGAATTATTTATTAATTTTGTGAAAAAAATTAAATAATATTGTGTATGAAGTTAGAGGGGAATTTATCGAAATTTGTACCCGTGAAGTTACTACAAATGTTTGATATTTGGTTAAAATTATAGGTTTCTAAAATCGATCTAAGAGATTTAATGGTAAGTAACATTTCCTTAAGTTTTTCGTGTAATATTGATATTGAAATTTTTACTCTTCAGAGATAACGATGAACGATCGAATCGTAATTCTTTGTTTATATGATGGAAAGATTAACTATCTCAAAAATAATATACCCATTTATGAAGGAGGTGTGACGAAGCCGTTGTTTATATCAAAATCGTGTACTTTCGATGAATTGGTTAATGACTTACACAAACTTACATTAACCAACTCACGTGAGTATCACCTTAATGTTTTTTATAATTATCCTGTTGTGGAGAGTAGAACAAGCGGCATTCAAATATCAAGTGACTATGATATGGGTCTTATTGGAGTATTACATGACGAGAAGCGTTCGGTTGAATTATTTATTGAAAAACATCAGAGAAATTTGGGCAAATCGATGAATCACGACGGAATATACTCCCGCATATTGGAGGACCTTAAAGTTAACTCCGTTGGATTTTTATCTCCGTAACAAGATGAAGGTTGGACACAGTCACGATACTTGAGCGATCCTTCGCACCTGAGCACTTCAAATGCCTTCGATACTAGCACGGCTCATCAAGATGATAATGCAAGTATCGAATCCGAGGATGATGATGAAGAGGATGGCTTACAAATTAATAGCATGACATGTTTGATAGATCGTGATGAAGGGGACAACCATTATATTGATGGATGTTATACTAACAATGAGTATGTCGTGTTAGAGGATCCGCCGCCCGATGAACTTCATGAAGAAGAATGGATTGATAACTCCATGATGGAAAGTATTCCTATCAGCACCAATATAGTTGATGATATACAATGCGAGGACTTCTCATTCGAAAAGGGAGATATATTTGAAAGCAATGAGAAATTGATTCATGCGCTTCATTTGTGGGTCATCCAAAAAATATCAAGTTTAGGCCAACAAAAAACAATGCAACAAGTTATAATATGGTTTGTTTTTACCGTAAAGATGACGAAGAAGAAGATAGTGGTGGGCACCACGATGGCAATGTGAAATATACTTGAAAGCTTAATTCTCGCTTGGGTGTAACAGTAGACGGGCAATTTAAAATCACACACTACAATGGACTCTACACATGTAGCAATCCTGGATTAGAGATGAATCATAGGCACGTGTCCGCCTTTTCATATATCGATTGATTATGCCTAATCTAATGGAGGATCTTGATCTAAGGTCAAGTGATATTCGTCTTTTAGTGTATAAAGCGACCAACTTGGATGTATCATACAACAAGTGTTGGAATGCTAGGAGGAAGGCGATGATAAAAATATTCGGAGATTGGGATAAATCTTATGAAATCTTACCACATTATCTCAAAGCACTCAAAAGAGAAAATCCGGGGACAATCTATGAAGTATCATCAGACCCTGTTGATGGTGGAGAATGGCGGTTCACATGTGTATTTTGGGTATTTGGGCCTTGTATTAAGGGTTTTAGATATTATCGTCCTCTTCTTAGCATTGATGGCACCCACTTGTATGGCAAGTACAAAGACATATTGCTTGTTTTAACTAGAATTGACATAGATGACAGATTATTTCATTTGGCATTTATAGTGGTTGATGTTGAAAACACAGAGAATTGAGCATGGTTTTTGCATGCATTAGATATCATATCCCTAGTGGGAGGGCACGGTTGATTACATTCATATCCGATAGGATGAAAGAAATTCCAATAGCATTCCAATGACATTTTCCATCGCCCAATCAACGTTGTTATTACTTGTGACATATTGGAGATAACTTCAAGAGGAAAGCATGAAAATGGGCAGGTTCAAGATCTTCTTTGGCAAGCCGGATATGCAATGGAAAAAGTAGTTTATGATCAACTACGAGAGAGGATTAAGTTTATTTCACGAGCTGTACATAAATGGATCGAAACTAGTTTGGGTCCACACAATGTTGATAAGTGGGCTTTATGTGAAGATGATGGGAAACGGTTCTGTATGATGACTACAAACACTTCTGAGAATTTCAATAGTGTGCTTAGGGGAGCACGCGGTATACCCAATACAATCACTAGTTGCAAAAATATTTTATAGACTTAATAAATTCTTTCTCTGACGTCGCACACTTGATGAAAATATATTGTCAGAGCTCACGCCGAAGGTTGAAGATATATTAGCGGATTGGATTATGCAAGCTTGATCATTTCGTATCGTAAGATACAATTTTAATGAATGGGAGGTCATTGAGGGAATATCATGTTAGACCCTAATACCACTAGGAAAGAAACCTAGAGGGAGGTGAATAAAGTTTATGCTAATCTAATCCGATTTAATACCAATTAAAATTTATTAACAAATATTCTTACAAGATAGATATACAATGTGTTATGAGCAAGAATGAGCAATATAAATAAAGAGCAATATCCTAGCTATGAGATATATAGTGAAATATATGCAATAATATATAAACTAACACAAGGAAAAAATAAACAATAAACAAACAAGAGTGATAGTGCGCAAATGACAAATTCAAACACAAGCAAATGATCACGGAGTTCGGATCTTCCGTCTTACGTCTTCGCTCCCCACTCACGGGGAGAAATCCACTATCACACCGGATTTTTAACGCTCACCCGAAAACGTTTACACCTTACACTCGGTTTTCTAGCTCACCAAAAACTTTATAAACAATACTTTTGCAATCACACTCTACACCCTCTAAGTGTTGGCCTCTAGCCTGTGTCTCCCTCAAATGCTCGTATTTACAACCTCTCCCTAGGCTTTACTACTGACGCCACTCCTCTTGGGATGATCCCGTCTCTCACCACACACTCCTCTCGACGTACAAGTGTATCCTCACAAAGAAAGCTCAATACAATAATTTGTTCTCTAATATGGATGAGAACACAAATAAGCTCACTCTCAATGCACAACCCCACAACCCAAATATACTATGTATGAAAATACTATAGCTCAATAGTTGTGTGTGTAATCAATGAGTAAAATAAATCTAAACTCAATATAAATCTAGCTTTAATAAAAATGATTAACGAACAAATAAATATAAAGCTAGAATTTAATAAAAATGATTAACGAACAAATAAATATAAAGCTAGAAAGAGTTTAGGGAAACTTCTCTATAGATCAAGAGTGAGAGAGAGAATAGAGTTTAGGGAAACTTCTCTATAGATCAAGAGTGAGAGAGAGAATGGAATGAAGCTCAAACACCAAAGAGATGATTTCATCCTCATGTAAACTTCTTTTTGCATAAACTAAAACACTCTTAAAAACTTGAAACAAACTCTCAAAAACTTGCAAAACTTGTTCTAAACTTCCATGGCAAACAAATGAGAGTAGAGAGCTTTTATAGCCTCTCAAAACAGCCAAAAAAACCCCATAAAAACACCTCAAAATCCCTAAAAATAAAAACTAGTCATTACTAGCCATTATAGGCTGAAAAGACACTATCAATCGACTGACTACAGTGCATAGGTCGACTGACTACAATGCCCGTTGACAGATTTTGGCAGTTTCTGAAATTTTTGTGTATCTAGCTTTGTAAAATCAATTATAAATAGTAAATCAACTCCAAAAATTATGAAATTTTGAGCAAAGTTTCTAAACATATATATAAACATGTTAGAGAAATAATTTCTTAAATATCACTTCCCATTTGTAAGAAATAATTATTTGAACATAGATATTATAGTTTCTGAAAAACTGCTGAAAACTTATTTTTGTAAATTCAATTGAAAATAACAAAACAACTCCAAAATTAGTAAAAATTGGGGAAATGTTTGTATATATGAAGATAAACATGTAAACGAAGAAATTTTTTAAATTTCATTTCCCAATTGTGAAAACTCTTCTGTTTTGCAAAAATATGCACGGACATGAACTTATTAAAACTTGATTTTGACAAAACGAGTTCAAACAAGTTTGAAACTTTTTTAAATAGATTAATAGACTTTATAAAAGATGTAAAGTAGTTATATTAAGTCAATAATCCGAAAACATGTTATTATCTCAAATGGATGTATAATAGTCAATAAATCAAGAAAACGTATACGTGCACCATTTAAGCTTAAAAGCATAAGCACACAAAGCATAAACCTAAACTAATATACCCAAGGCAATTGATCTTCATTAAGCTTGTCTTGATCATGGTACATGAACTTATTAAAACTTAATTTTGACAAAACGAGTTCAAACAAGTTTGAAACTTCTTTTAAATGGATTAATAGACTTTATAAAAGATGTAAATCAGTTATATTAAGTCAATAATCCGAAAACATGTTATTATCTCAAATGGATGTATAATAGTCAATAAATAAATAAAAAAAACGTGTATGTGCACCATTTAAGCTTAAAGCATAAGCACACAAAGCATAAACCTAAACTAATATACCCAAGGCAATTGATCTTCATTAAGCTCGTCTTGATCGCGGATGAAGCTTGAACTTGAACTTGACTTGAATGCATTGGCTTCACTCCGATAAGCTACCAACCTCCTTTTAATATCATCGTGAGGGCGCAATCCAACCAACCTCCAACATCGATATTTGTGTATATTACCTAACAAAACAAATGCAAGCACTCGACGCACAATGTTAGGAATTGTTTGTAATCATCAAAACAAGATTAGGGAGTAGGCTCATAACCATGAGGTTAACAATCTCCCCCTTTTTTATGATAACAAACAATCTACACAAAGAGTATATAAAATATGCATGATATCAAATGAATATATAATTTATAATACTCATGCATAAAAACCAAAGTAATATATACTCACAATATACATGTTTCTCCCCCTTTGTCAACATCAAAATGGGGACAAACAATATGATTAAGAAGAGAGCGAAAGCTCCCCCTAACAAAAAGCACAAGTGAGTATAAACAAAAATAGGGAAAGGCTCCCCCTATCAAAAAGCCATATAGATATATATATATATATATCAATAAGATATATATCAAAAATAATTCCAAAAATAAAATCAAGTATTGAAAGTCAAAAAGATTTAACCAATGTAACCAAAAAAATTTATAAATCATCCAACATAAATCATGATTGATTGAGAGCACGTATACATGTATCGTTATGAAACATAGTGTCTTAATATATAAATAAAAAATATCTCAATAAAAGTAGGATATATAGATTTAGAAAATCAAAAGAGTGGAAAAACATGAGAATTATAAAAAAAAATATTTTCGATTGAAAACAAAACATGAGAACTATGAAAATCATAACAATCATGAAAGTCCAAAAGAAAAAACAAATCAACCAAATAAAATCATAAATCAATCAATTAAACCATAATAACTTAAAAACAAACCAATATCAAATTTTGTCATATTTGACAAGAAAACAAGAGAGGCAACCATATCAAGCTCTTGAGCTTGTTACAACCCATATAAACATTTAGCACCTGGTAAATATGATTTTGAAATAAATAGCCAATAAATCCGGGCGGTTGCTTAAACACAAAGCTCTCATCAAAATCAAAGTTAATAAAATAAAAACAAAAGAATTGACCAAAAAAATTATTTTCATTTACAAAAAATTTAAAACACGTTTTTTCAAAACCAAGAAATGAAAAATAAAAACACTAAAAATACTGGTTTAAAATTAAAAAGATTTTGGCACTCAAGCATTCTTGGTGCTGAAAGATTTAGGGACATGACCCCTATCATTTAAGCTCAAATCCTTAGGGTTATGAACCCATTTGGACGCATTTAGTACACTAGTCCGGTCATAATAATAATTACTCAAATGACCCTTCTGATTGTAATATGTGTAATGATAGAGGCTCATTTGTTTTTGTGGACCATTTAGATGTGCATAAGAAACATTTGCAAGTAAAGATGGTCTTTTAAAGTCGTTTTGCAAATGTGAAACAATATCAAACAAATATGGTCTATTCGAAAAATTTGGCAAGTTTGAACAAATGCTCAAATCAAAACAAAACTTTGCCAAATGGCCAAATCTAGTACAAAAATCACATTTAAACTTATGTGGTCTTTAGAAGCATTTTACAAATGTGAAACATTTTTCAAATCAAAGAAAATTTTTGTCAAATGGCCAAAACGTCCACAATAATCACATTGAAATACACTAGCATGCTTATGATGAGCATTTGATGCATGTGCATGTGTATGCATAGATGAAGCTTTATGAGATGCACAAGAAGTATTAATATGAGCCTTAGTGGGTTTATGTGCATCATAGCAAAATTTAGCAAGATTACCTTTTTGACCACAAATAGAGCACTTATAAATTTTGCTATATATTCTTTTGTGTTTTTTCCTTTTTTGATGTTGTCAAAGGGGGAGAAATGGTTTGTTTATTGGTTTATGATGGTATCATATTTTATTCATGTTTAGATTTTATATATATTTTATAAATTATTTGTCATCATCAAAAGGGAAAGATTGTTAGCCCTTTTATTTTGATGATGATTTGCCAAATATTTTATAGCTAATTTGTTTCCTAGTGGTTGTGGCCTGTTTCTTTTTACAGGATATCCATATATGATGAAAAGCCATTCATATCAGAGTTAAAGATTTAACATCAAGCTGTGTGCGCAATCACTTAGGTATATTAGTAGTTTTGTAATGTATATTGTGTGAATATA